GCATAAAGGATTCATGGACGCAGCTGTGGGGCCGTGGGCAGCGGCTCTGCGTCCAGCAGGGGGGGGGGTGATGAACGGAGCCCCCCGGGGGTCTGTGTGGATCCAATGCTCTTCTGATCAGAACACGGAGGGGCTGAGCTCCGACCCAGCCGTGCTGAGATCCCGCGGTTCCGTGCTCTTGGAGGTCCCTCCTGACCCAAGCACTCCGTGATCCTGTGGTTCCTCCCAGAGGCAGACAGGAGCTGGTGAAGCAGATCGAGAAGAACGCGGAGGAGCGGGCGCTGAGAGCTGAGCAGAAGGACCAGGAGAGCCAGGAAATGCTTCGGTACCTGGAACAGCTGAAGGTGGAGGAGCAGAAGGTGGGCTGGGCAGGAACCAGGGGGCTGCTGGGGAGCAGAATGATGATGATGATGATGATGAAGGCAGATTTTCACCTCTTGGAAGTGTGACCCGGCGCTGGGGGGGGTCGGCCTCGGTGCAGAGCTGAGGCTGTGGTCTCTTGGGGAGGCTGAGCCTTCTTCCAAAGTGGCTCTGAGCCCCCATGGAGCGAGCACTACAGAGCCTCTGCTCTGTGCTTCAGGAGTTGGAGCAGAAGAAGGAGCAGCAGAAGAAAATCCAGGCTGAGATTAAACGCATCAACGACGAGAGCCAGAGGTGCAAGGAGGAGCAGCTGCAGAAGGAGAAGATGGAGGATGAGCGGGTGCTCGAGTACCAGAGGCAGAAAATGGTACTGAGCTGAGCACAGCAGCACGGGGGGGCGATGGGGTGCAGGGAGCTGCCACCAAACTCTGTCCCACGTAGGAACGGGAGGCAGAGCTGGAAGCTGAGCAGGAAAGAATCCGTCGGGAGAAGGAGAAGGAGGTGGCACGGCTCAGGGCCATGCAGGAGAAGGCCCTCGACCAGCAGGCAGAGCGGGTGGGTGAGCTCCTGCAGCTGGGAAAGCAAACGGGATCCTGGGCGCCATCAGCAGAGGGGGGCAGCAGGGACAGGGAGGCGATCGTCCCTCTGTGCTCTGCTCTCTGAGGCCCCGTCTGCAGCACCGCGTCCAGGGCTGGGGGTTCCCATACAAGACAGGGAGCTGTGGGAGAGGAGCCAGAGGAGCCGCAGGGCTGAGCAGGGGCTGCAGCAGCTCCCTGCAAAGCCAGGCCGAGGGAGCTGGGCTCGTTCAGCACGGAGAAGAGGAGCTGGGGCTGAGCTGAGTGCAGCCTGCAGCGCCTGCAGGGAGCCTGCAGCCAGGAGGGGAGGCAGCTCTTGGGCAGGGGAGATGAGAGCAGGGAACGGCTGGAAGCGGAGGGAGGGCAGCTGGAGGCTGGGGGTCAGGGAAGTTGTGTGCTGGGAGAGCGGTGAGGGGCTGAACAGCTGCCCAGAGAGGCTGCGATGCCCCGTCCATCGCTGGAGGGGTTGGAGGCCAGGCTGGATGGGGCCCTGGGCAGCCTGGGCTGCTGTGAAACGTGGGCAGGTCGGTGGCTTTGCAGGCGCTGTGGGGTCGCAGCTTCGCCATCCCCGAGCTCCCTGCCAACCCAGGCCGTGCTGTGAGGGCTGGCAGATCCGCCATCGTGGAGCAAGGAGCGCGGCCATGAAAACCATCCCTGCCAGCCTCACCGCCGTCCCCTTCTGTCCCCGTGGGCAGGACGCACTGAGGGCCAAACGCAGCCAGGAAGCGGCCGAGCGGGAGTGGAGGAGGAAGGAGAAGGAGGCGGCGCGCAGGAAGGCTGAGATGGAGGAGCAGCTGCGGCAGGGCCGGAGGCAGCAGATCGCAGAGAAGGAGCAGCGCATGGCTGTGCAGGTGATGAGGGACCGGCGCGACTTCGAACGCATCCTGCGGTGAGGTGGGGTCTGCGCTGAGCGCGGTGCGACGGCGCGGGGGGGCGGGAGGTGGGAAAAGGTCCGATCTGAAAGAGTGGGGGGCCGGGGAGGGGAGGGGGGTCACCGTGCAGGAGGTGCTGAGAAAGGAGGTGCTGTGGGTGTTGGGTTGGCGTTGGGTTTGAGGAATCTTGGGGGTCAAAGATGAGCCTTGTGGTTGTGAGCAATGGGGACGGGTTGGGGTTGGCCTTGGGGGTCCCGGGGCTCTTCTGCAGCCCTGGTGGTTCTGTGAGTGGGAGAGGTGGGGAGAAGTTGGGCTTGAGGGTCTTGGAGGCCTTCGACCTTCGTGGCTCTGTGATTCTCTTTAGGCTCGTGCTTTAGTGGGAATGGTGGGGATGGGGGGGGTTGGCCTTGGGGCCTTAAAGGTCTTCTCCAGCCTTCGTGGTTCCCCGTTTCTGCGATCATTTTGGCACACAGTGGGGGTCGGGTCAACGTGGCGACCTGGGAGGATGGGTTGGCGGTGGAAGATCTTGGAGGCCTTTTTCCAACCCCGACAGCTCCACAATTCTGCCATTCCGACATCAGGAGGGGGGGGAGGAGGATTGCAATGGACCTTTCTCCCATTACGCGGCGCCACGAGCGGCGAGGGCGGGTTGGCGGTTGGATCCGATGACCTCGGAGGTCTTCTCCCCCCTCTCAGGGCCCAGCAGAAGCAGATAGAGAAGGAAAAGGCAGAGGAGGCTCGCAGGGCGGCCCTGCAGTCGGCCCACGCCGATGCCATCCGGCGTCAGATGAGGGAGCAGCAGCAGCTGAGGGCCCAGGAGCGCATGGCCGCCTTTGAGGAGAGCCGGAGGCTGCAGGAGGCGGCTGAGCAGCGCAGCCAGCGCATCGCCCAGCTCAAGCAGCAGAAGATCCAGGAGTTCAGGTGGTGCCCGCGGCCCTCAGCCCCATCCCGGCTCCCCGCTGGGTGTCTCCTCCAAACACAGCCCGCTCCAAGGCCGCGTGCTCAGCCTGGCATCGGGATCTGATGGTTTTTGTCTCTGCAGAGCCGCTGGCATCCCGGAGAAGTACTGTGCCCAGGTGGAGCGGTGGGCGCGCAGTGGGGCTCAGCCCCACACGGGGCAGAAGGCAGCAGCTCGGGAGTTTCGGCTCGCTTAGGCAGAGCTGCCTCCAAACAGAGATGTTCATGGAGCAGACAGCGTCTCCTGTCCTTCTCTTGCTTCCCACCTCCAGGTCAGGGTTAGGGGTTGGGGTTGGGGTTGGGGTTGGGGTTGGGGTTGGGGTTGGGGTTGAGGTTATGGTTAGGAGCAGGGTTGGGTTGGGGTTATGGTTAGGGCTGGGGTTGAGGTTATGGTTAGGGTTGGGTCGGAGTAGGGTTAGGGTTAGAATTGGGGTCAGGGTCGGTGTTGGGGCAGGACAGGGGTTGGGATTAGCATTAGGAACAGCCCCCTGCCCATCTCCCTGCTTGCTGGGGACAGCAGCATCCCCTGCCCTGTTCCTGGGGGCTCTGGTTCATGACCCAGCCGGAGCCCAACCCGCTGCTGTCGCTGCCCCGCTGCCAAACCCGCCCTGCGAGCAGCGCCGTGTCACCTCCAGGCCCTGTGGCCTTGTGAAGGGACAAAGCAAAGCGTCCGCAGAGTGATGCAAACCTCGGAACGACAGGAAAAAAAAACAACAAACCCACAACAAACCGCAGCAGGACAGGGAATGGCAGCTTCAGAGGGCTGGGATCCCGTAGGAGTGGCTCTGATTAATTCTCCGAGCAGCTGAAAATAAGGAGAGCCTGGAAAGGCGAGACTGCCTGGGGCAGGGAGACGGCGTGGGGTGGGCAGGGGGGGGGGAATCCCACCTCCTCCCGCATCCCCAAACGGCTGCTTTCCCTCTGGGTGTCCCCGAATGGCAGGGAAGCCGGGCGCCGCGAGGCCGCGTGGCTGCTTTGGGTCACCCCCAATTCTGTGGGGCCCTCAGCATCCCTGGGGTCACCTCCATCCCTGTCAGCTCCACGTCCTGCACGGCTCCCATGAATCGAGAGCGCGGTGCCGTGCCCCCCATCCTGCACCAGGGCTGCAGAGCCACCAAACCACGGCTGCGCCCCGCTGGGCTTCGTCCCCTCCGCGCCGCCCCGGGGGCCCCAAATCACAGACGCTGCCCAACACGTGCCTCTGTTCCCAGCAAGGGTTAAAGGACGGCGATGAGCTCAGAGTGGGGCCGGTAAATGGAGCAGCTGTGGCCCCGGGGAGCGTTTGGGGCCTGCAGGGAGGTGCTGCCCATCCGGATCGGGCGGTGGGGTGGAAAACACCGAGCTGCGCCGCGGGGCACCGCGCACTGACCGGAGCTGCCCTTGTGCCACGGCCTCCATGGGGCACTGGGGCGGCTGTGGGGCGATGCTGCTGGGGGTCCAGGGAGTCGAGTGGCCCCCCTGGCATCGCTGTCCCCAGCCCTTCCGTCCCGCTGTGCCGCCCCTGTCCCCAGCAGCACCCACTGCTGCAGCTTTCCTGTCCCCAATCCATCCATGGTGGCCGCAGGTTCCACCTCCATCCCCACCCCCCCTGACCCACTGCTGCCACCACGTCCCCCCGATGTCACCCCGGTGGGCTCAGCGTCCCCTCGAGGTGCCAGCATCCCCGTGCCCCACGCCGAGGGGGCAGGACCAGAGGAGGGATTTTTAGGGGATTAAGCCCAGGCTCCAACCACACCTTTCAGCTCCTACAGTCGTGTCCCTGCCCGACACCAAAACCCTTTTGGGGCTGCGTGGGGCAGCACCGCCATCTCAGAGCCTTCCGATGGATCCCAGCTGGATCCCCACCAACCCCGCTGCTGCTGCTTAACACAGGGTCAGCCCCCCCAAGTGGGGTCCGCAGCCCCAAATCCCCACCCCGCTGTTGGGAACGGGGCCCACGGAGCAGCGCAGCGCCCCCATATTTCAGCCCCCAGCCCCACTCCAATGGGACGCAACCCCACATGGCGCAGCAGCTCCTAATTACCGGGTAGGGAGTGGAGCAGGGCGGCTTCGCTCACGCACAGCTCGGAGCCACTCAGTCATCCCAAAGGCATCCGCCCCACAGGGAGGAGCGCCCGGACCCAGCATGTAAAAGGGCTGCTGGTGTCGGGCGATGCTTCGTCGCCTCGCAGCCTTCATCCACCTGCACTCCTCCTCCTCCTCCTCCTCCTCCTCCTCCGCGCCGGCACCGCAGCGCGATGGCACGGCACGGCGCCGGGCAGCTCCTGCTGCTGGGGCTCATGCCAGGTAGGTGGCCTCGATGTCACCGAGGACGGATGGAGGGGACGCTGCCCCCTGGGCACCCCTGGGACGGGCCGCCATCTGGTGACCCCAGCGGAGCGACAGCCGTGGGCGCTGCAAGGCGCTGCGATGTTTGCGGATGGGAGGCACGAGCCAGGGGTTGGGTGACGGGGAGATGGGGGGCAGGGGGCTGTGGGGTGATGGGGTGGGTGTAAGGTCAGGGTGCTATGGGTCATAGGGTTGGGATGGGGTGGGTGTAAGGTCAGGGTTATGGGGTCAGGGTGTTGTGGGGCACAGGGTTGGGATGGGATGGGGTTGGTTATGGGGTCAGGGTGCTGTGGGTCGTAGGGTTGGGTTGGGATGGGAATAGGGTCAGGGGGCTGTGGGCTATAGGGTTGGGATGGGGTGGGTTATGGGGTCAGGCTGCTGTGGGTCGTAGGGTTGGGATGGGGTGGATGTAAGGTCAGGGGGCTGTGGGTCATAGGGTTGGGATGGGGTGGGTTATGGGGCCAGGGGGCTGTGGGGCACAGGGTCAGGGTGCTCACACGTTGCCCCCTCTCCCCCAGCTCTCCTCCTGGCTGTGAGGATCAACGGCAAAGGCCGTGAGGTGCTGTACTTGGCCAAGGGAGACTCAGTGAAGCTGGGCTGTCCCTACGTCCTCGAGCCCGAGGACAACGGTCCCCAGGGTGTGGGAATTGAGTGGATCCAGATCACACCTGAGAGAACCGGCCCCGAAAATGTGGTGAGTGTGGGGCACCGGGTGTGGGGTGACTGAGATGGCCCCATCCTGTGGGGTGGAGGGGGGGACGGAGGAAGGATGGGGAGGGATGGAGGAGGGATGGGGCAGGAGGGATGGGATGGAGTGGGATGGGATGGGATGGGATGGGATGGGATGGGATGGGATGGGATGGGAAGGGTTGTGGGGTGGGGTGGGGTGGATAAGACAGCATGGGATGCTGTGGGATAGGATGGGACAAGGAAGGATGGGACAAAGAAAGGTGGAGGAGCAGATGTGGGGCAGGACAAAGCGATGAGGAGAGATGGAGCAGGAGGGATGCAGGAAGGACGCGGGGACACCCGGGGATGCAGCAGCCCCTTCTGCCCGCCCTCACCCCCCCGTTCCACCCCATCCAGTTCCTTTCCTACCACGACCACCACGTCAACTACGGCAGCGGCTCGGGGCTGCAGGACCGCGTGGCCTTCGTGCAGAACGACCCCGGGCAGCACGACGCCTCCATCCGCCTGGCAGACCTGCAGGTCTCCGACACCGGCACCTACCAGTGCCGCGTCAAGAAGAACACGGTGGCCGTGCACGAGGTCATCGTCACCGTGCAAGGTGAGACCCCCGTCCCCCTGCCGGATGGTGGCGACACCGACGTCCCTCTGCGGAGAGTCAGTGTCCCTGGCGGTGGCCCTAGAGGTGGTGGCGGCCCTGAAGGTGGCCGTGCTGGTGGTGGTGGCCCTGGGGGTGGCCGTGTCCCTCTGTGGTGGTGGCATTGTCCCAGCTGCTGACCGTGTCCACGATGGGAGCGGTGGCACTGGTGGTGTCGATGTCCCGAGTGGTGGCGGTGGCTCTAGAGGTGACGGTGGCCCTGGTGGTGATGGTGGCCCCAAAGGAGACCGTGACCGCGATGGTGACAGTGTCCGCGGTGGCGTCAATGTCCCTGGTGGTGACCGCGACCCTGGTGCTGGTGTCTGTGACCCTGGCGGTGACAATGCCCGCAGTCGGTGTCCCTGCTGGTCGGGACAGCGTCCCTAATGGTGGCGGTGGCCCCGGTGGTGGTGACAGCGCCCCGTGCGGTGACCGCAACCTCGGTGGTGACCCTGTCCCTGGTGGTGATGGTGGCGCAGGTGATGACGATGCCCCCGCTAATGACCGCGTCCCCTGTGATGACCGCATCCCCGGTGGCGCCAATGGCCCCGGTGGTGCCCGCACCCCTGGTGGTGACGCTGCCCCTCGCCCCGCAGAGAAGCCGGCCGCCCCGCAGTGCTGGACCGAAGGAGATCAGGTGCAGGGCGGCAGCGTTTTGCTGCGCTGCTACAGCCGCGGAGGGGCCGCGCCGCTGGCCTACCAGTGGGCCAAGCTGGCAGATGGGTACGGAGGAGGACGGCTGCCCCAAGGAACCATCCAAGGTGGGCGCTGGGGGCTGGGATGGGGGGTGGCAGGGGGCTGGGGGGTGGCAGGGGGTGAGAGGCTCGTGTTGTGTGCGGCCGT